CTGTGTGCCCTGCCCCCCCGAACAGCCAGCCTCCAGGCGCCAGTGCATCTGCCACTGTCTTCCTCCTCCTTTCACTTCCATCTCCTCCAGGGCGGGGCCTGGTCTCCCCATTTTTGTGTTTCCTAGTCGAGCCCCTGACTCAAAGCAGACCTTAACAAGGGCACGTCGGATGAACGAATGCATGAATCTGGAACAGAAGCTCCCTTGCTGGTGGAGCCCACCGTTCCTGCATGCAGCTGGTCCACCGTGCACCAGAGACACCCCCCATTCTAGGTTTGATTCAGGAAGAACTGATTGTTCAGAATGTCACCATGTGAGGGGTCTTTGCTTCCTGGTCAGTTGCAATGTCTAACATCCTCTCCTTGCAGCTGGGTGTCAGAACCTCCCAGTGATGACTTTATTTTCCTCCCTAGTCAGCCTCCAGTTCCTAATTACTTAGCCCATTTCTGCCAGAGAACTCTGTTTTGGCTCTTTCCGTGCTGCCTCACCATAGGAATGGGAAAAGACCTCCTCTCTTTCCTCTGCCTTTCAAGGTTTCTTGGATGGTATTTCTTGGAACCTTGATGCTAGAGAGACTGATCCACATGGCCAGGGATGTCCTCTGGAAAGACAGTGATAGAAAAAGAAGAAAAAACCTCCTGAATGATGGTCAAATAATCAAAGCTGATCCGACCATCCACTCACACATCAAGTCTGTAACCTGGCTTACATTAGAAATTAGAAGTCAGTGTGAAATGACCGTAGGAGCTTGGAGGGGCAGAGCTGTGGCGGTTGGATGGACCATAGAAAAGTACTGGGAACATGTCATCACACACAGGTGACTTTTAGCACGTGTCCTGTACAGAAACAGACAACTACAACAAAAGGAGAATTAGCACTACTGCTCGTGATTCCACTTAGTGAGCTGATGCCCCAGAGAGGACAGGAGGTGGAGGGCCAATCTGGTGGTCTCTCAGGGGGTCTCATCTTCTACCTTGCCTCCTGTGGGGTCAGCCTCTGGCCACCCTCAGTGTGTAAAGGGAATCATTCTTCATTAACAGGGCCCCGCACTTATCCTGCAACCCAGCAGCCCCACTCCTAGGTATTACCCTAGAGAAACGAAAACATATGCCTCATAGAAACCACTCTGTTCATCAACCCAAACTGGAAAGGACCCAGACATCCTCCCAAGGGTGGATGGCTGAAACAGGGTGCCTAGATGCAGGCCACCTCAACTGGCGCTTGACCAAGGAGGCAGCAGGTCGTGGTCATTCTGAGCAAACTTTGGGTATCAGTTACAGATCGCATGATGAATTATGCAAACACTGAGAGGCCTAAAACAGCAACACGGGTGGATTTTGCTTAGGAATCTTCCGTTTTGCAGCCTTGATGGAAACAGCTTGTCTCTGCGCCACATGGTGCCAGTGGCTTAACTGAGGCGGAGCCTCGACTTCCAAGATGGCTCCCCGGCAAGGCGGCTGGCACATGGCTGCAGGCTCTCACTTCCTCTCCACGTGGGCCTCTCCTTGGGCTGCTTGGGCTTCCCCATGGCATGGTGGCTGGGTTCCAGGAGCAGGCATCCAAGAGTCAGGCAGTGGATGCTCCCAGTCTCCAAGTCCCGGATCCAGAAGCCAGCTCCGTGTCATTCTGCCATGTTCTGTTGGTCAAGCAGTCATGGAGCCTGGGTTCAGGGGTGATATAGATCGCACCTGAATGGCAGGAGTGGCAAAGCATTTGGGGACCACATTTAAAAACCATCGCATTTATCATTTACCGTCTGCCCTCCTGGAGACGTTGACCCCTGACCCCACGATGTGCCCGGATGTCTTCACGAGGGAATGCCCAGCCACAGCAGAAATCCTCTGGCCTGCATTGGGCAAGGCTGTTCGGTCCACTCTTCCCACCTCTCCAAGGCCCCTCCCAGCCCTTCCCCCAGGCGTCCTGTGCGTTCTGATGTGAGCATGGTTTGGGAACCCCCACAGTGAAGTTTACAAAGCTCTACAATAATGTAAGGCACTGTCATGTTTTATTTTTTCTCCTTTTCTAAGCTACATTTTTATGACTTGTTTCAGCATAGTAGTGACTGACTATAGGTATTTTTGGAATGATATACAAGTCTTTCCTATTTTGACGGGGTGGGGTGGTGGGAGCATGAAGGGATACACGGAAGGGAATGCAGGTGTGCCAGGAGGAGGGTCCTGGACACAAAAGAGTGAGAGGTACACGTTCACACTGAGGTTTCGGTGGCCAGCAGCTTCTTCGCGTCTCCCTTTCTGGAAACGGCTGTGCTTCAAGAGCAGTTGCTAAACCAGGGCTGCACACACTCCAGAGAAATGAATCTCTAAAGTGTGAGACCCCCAAGGATTCACTGATACTACAGTTTTGCTGCTGCTTGGTACTGTTTCTCTTTTCATTGATCACATAGATGATTTGCCAAGAGCCGCATCATGAGACAGGCACAGTGCCCTTTGCAGTGACCTTGGGCAGAGACCTCAAGTTTGTGACAGTCTGAATGAAACTTGAAGTTGAAGTTTTAAACTGGGAGTATTTCTAATGCTTCTCAGCACACCTCCACCACCACCACCACCACCACCACCACCTGCCCCAGCCTTGTCTGAGTCTTTCTTACTCATTCTCCCCCCTTTTTGTTTTCCTGCTGTCAGGGAACCTGTCCTATACACAAGAAACTGAATCATTACTAAAGTGTTAGTGGCTCCTTGGAGCTTAGTTTATTGCCCTTCCCATGGAGATATTTGTGATTTCCAAGAAGATGCTGAGGTAGAGCGATCGCAAAGGAGTGAATCTCCAATGCTAGAACTTACCCAATAGGATAGCCAGAATGAGAGGGCTTTTTGAGGAAAAGTTTTCCTCGTGGAGGTCCTCAAACACTCCGTCTTCCTTAGGAAGTGAGTGGCTGGGTGAGCCTCTGGGTTACTGCCAGTCTGCTCCAGGGGTAACTGCTCATCTCACCGGGGTTACCTGGTCCCTGGGACTCAGGAGCCTCCCATGTCCGCTTTGCTTCTGCTGTGTTGAAGCAGATGCCAGCTGGCTTGCTTCTTAGCAGTTAAATATGCAGCCTCTGTACAAATCAGCTATTAAATCTGCAGAACTAGAGTATTTTACAAGTAATCAGTTCATGCAGATTGCACATAAATCACGTCTGCCTGGCCCTTTGGACGCTAATGTTCCCTTATTAAGGCATAAGGAAGCCTTCCTGTTCTCATCCATCCTTCCAGACTCCTTTTAATTACTAAAAAGTATAGCCTGGTCCTCGCTACACCACCCTCTTCCTCCACCCCCCCACCACCTTTTTTGAGGTTCATTTTGTTTTTCTGGAGCTTGCCAAATTACCTTAGGAAGCTGGGTACCTCGTGAATGGATTGAGAAAAAGGAAATTCTTATCTCAGAAAGGAAGCGGTTACCACGTTTCTGTTTGTGATATTCTTGGCCAGTTAAAATTTCTGTGAAATATGGTCCGATGGCAGCGCCGGTACCGCAGGGAGGGGGAGTGTTGGTTGTGCTCGGTGCACAAAAGGAAAATACCTTCCCCTGAAGTGGGGGGCGGGGAGGGATAAAAAGTCATTTCGTGACTGTCATTCTGCCCAAATAAACAGAGAACCTTTGTTTTTCACCCCTGAGAAGACTGAATGCTCAGCCACCCTAACATGCACATTATTGTAACATTTTCTTTTCAAACTGTAGCTACACATCTTCACTCTAAAACACGTGGGTTTCTGCTTCCAATTTCTCCAGCCCTGTTGTAGCGTTCGGCCCGTCTTCATTTTGGTCGAAAATGTCTCTCTAAGAGCATGGAAGCCTATATGGTATTGTTCCCGCGATTTGGTGTAAAAAATAAAAAACGGAGACCTTCAGATGAGGCCCATAAAAATACCACCATCTCTTTTTAGAAAGGTTTTATGAATATAAATTCCTGTCTCAATAATTACTGTTGAGGGCAGAAAGGACTTTGGGAGTTTGGAAATCGTAACAACTTATTTTCTCTTAGCAACCACAGTGAAGGTGACGCATCTCTCTCTCTTTTTATTGTTATTTTTTTTTTTTTTTTATCCATATATATATATATATATATATATATATATATATATATATTTTTTTTTTTTTTTTTTAATCCTCACCGGAGGACATTTTTCCATTTTTTGTTCAGGTAGAGTGGGAGGGAGAGAGAGGAACAGAGAGAGAGAGAGAAACATCGACGTGAAGGGACACATCGAGTGGCTGCCACCCGCACAACCGACCAGGGCCGGGGACAAACTGCAACCGAGGTACGCGCCCTTAGCGGAAACCGAACCCGGGTCTCTCTGGACCACAGGCCAACACTCTAACCGCTGAGCCAAACCGGCCAGGGCATCTCTCTCTCTTTTTATTGTTATTTTTAGATGGGCTGACACCATAATGCACCATGTTACTTTTTTTGTTTGTTTGTTTTTTATCCTCATCTGAGGACATTTTTTGCATTTATCTTCAGATAGAACGGGAAGAAGAGAGGAAGGGAGAGAGAGAGAAACATCGATGTGAGAGAGACACATCGAGTGGTTGCCACCCACAAGACCCCAACTGGGGCCGGGGACAAACTGCAACCGAGGTACGTGCCCTTAGTGGGAACCGAACCCTGGTCTCTCTGGTCCACAGGCCGACGCTCTAACCACTGAACCAAACTGGCCAGGGCAGGTCCCGTTTTTTAATCATGTACACAGATCGTAGTGGAACTGAGGCACTCTGAGTATTCGTTTCCTCAGATGGGGGAGAAGCTATAGAGCAGGTATTCTTTGGTGTCATTTCAAAAATCACAGAATACCTGGTAGTGATGTCTTAGAAAGAGGAGCTGGCCTGGGTACTGAGCACAGGTCCTGTGGTGTTCAGGTCATATTTAAATCATACTCTCGATCTCATAAAGGCTAAGGTCTCTTATGTATTCTTCAGGGAAATGATGGGGTCTTTTATGGTGTTTAAAAACAAAACCTCAAAGCCCGCTCCTCCTTTTTTTCCCCTTTTGGTGACAGCTGCTGAGATGGGTTGTGGATTAAACAAGTTAGAGAAACGCGATGACAAGCGGCCTGGAAATATCTACTCAACTTTGAAGAGGCCGCAGGTGGAAACCAAGATAGATGTGTCCTATGAATACCGCTTCCTGGAGTTCACGACCCTGAGTGTGGGTGAGTACGGGCACCGGTGTTCTGGGCCTGGGCGAGCTCGGGCCCCGCCTCCCACCACAGCCCCCCCGGGCAGCGTCTTCTGCTGAGGCTGCCCCATGATTGCAGGGTGGGGGGCTGACAAGGACATACTGGGAGGTGGGCAGTTGTGGAGGGCTTTGGGGAGCTCGAAAGGGCGGGCCTGTCCAAAGGGCACTGCTGACAGAAATCCGTATTTTTATGTGAAACCCTTTCACATTGTAAGAGATAGTAACTAATTAAAATGATAACAAATTAAGCCCATATGTGAGCCAACTAGGACACACGAGTGGGCTGAATTTGGCCCAGGGGCCAACCCATTTGCAGACCCTGTTTTGTGCCAAGCCGTGTGGCAAAGGAACATTTGCCTTATCTCCTCATCCTAGTCTGCCCATCCAGCCAAATTCAGCTACTTACTGTTCCCCCATTTTTCAAGAGTGTCGACCTGGGCTTGGCTTTGCCTCACCTGAGCCAGAGGGTGTCGGGTCACCTACCATCAGCAGCTTCCCACGGGCACTGGGGTGACTGGCACGTGGTGATCAGTGGTTTCATCCCGGAGCATGTGCTGAGCACTGACCGGGCGGACTCGGCTTGGTGCTCTAGGGAAAGGGTTTCCTGAGCTTCTTACCTGGAGGCAGAGGCGACTCATACACACGAGGAAAAAACTCCACATGTTACAACTGCAAGTGGGAAACGTGTGAAGTATGTTTACGGAAGAGGAAGGGAGCATTCTTCCTTTTGGGACAGGGTGTGGGGATGAGGGGCGGGCCCTGGAAGCTGCGAGCGAAACCAGGTCCTACAAAACTGAAGCGTCTTAAGACACGTCCTCTCTGGGTCTCTGGATATGTTTTATGCTTCTTATAACAGAAAAGAGTATCAGTGGAACAAGCCCTTGTTCATGGGTGTGAGTCCTGGCTCTGCTGTGGAGTCGCTGGGCAAATCACAAGGCCTGCAGGGTCCTCAGCTATCGAATGAGCACTTGAATATCCACCTCCAGGCAGCTGTGCCGGTTAGAAGAGGGAACATGAGGGAGGCTCTTAGCACAATGCCTGGCACTTAGTAGGGCTACTGGTATTAGGACTCCTCCTCCCCCTCGCCCTCCCCCTTCTCCTCCTCCTGGACTACTCCTGCTGTGACCACCTCCATGCTGAGGCCCCACCGGCTTCCCCAGTCCTGGGACAGATGGACAGCTGGGCGTCTCTGTGGGCATCTTCAGTGTAACCCTCCAAGTCCCCCAAACTGAACCCAGCAGCTTCATCATCAGGTTGCTTTCTGCTGACGCATTTGATGCGTAATGTCACCAACATCCTCTTAAACTGCCAGACCAGACTTGACACCTTAGTCCCCTGTGACCAAACCTTCTTCTCACCCACAATTTCTATTCCGTCACCCAAGCCTACTGAAACTACTTCTAAACATGCTTACAATAGAGCTAATGTGACACGAACAAATCCAAACACAAAACTATTTGGAACACCTGGTCAACCGTTATTTGTTCAGTAGATATTTGAGTGCCCACAACATTCTAGGGATTGTAGAATGATTAAGGAAAAAACAAAAGCGTGTGTAGGAAGAAAGATGGGAAGGAAATATAACAAGATGTTAGAAATTGAGCGTCAGGGTGCTGATGTTATGGGGCAATTCTTTCTTCCTTTCTCATATATTTCTTGCATTGCAGTGCATTTCTTCTGTTATTAAGAAGAGTAATTTTTGCTGACCTCCTCTGTCTTCCCACGGCTCCATCACTCATCCTCGGTATTACTCCCCTAACCTCCCGATCGGTCTCCCTGCTTCCTGGTGCTGCAGTCATAGCACCCACACTGTTTTCTGCACTGTGTTTTCTTTGATTGAATCACCATTTTTTCTGATCACGGAATAAACATATGCCCGTTACAAAATGTTAGGAAAACATTAGAAAAATCCCAACGGGTCTCCCTGCTTCTGCCCTTGTCCCCCTACAGTTCACATCACCCTACTGCTCCAAGTCCTCACTCTAAGTGACAGGGGCTTCCCTCTGTCCTCATTCGCCTGCCATTTGTCCCGCATGTTCTGCCACTGCAGCCTTGCCGTCTCTCGAAGCCTCCGGGCCCCCTCAGGGCATTTTCACTGCCTGTTCCTTCTGCCGGGAAGTCCTCCCAGATCTACCCTTCGCTCAGACTCTTAACCCCCTTCTTCATGGAACTTTCCCTGACCACCTAGTGAAGATGTCTACCTGCCCTCCAACCTCCCATCCCTTTCCCCTCTTGGTTTTTTCCACAGCACGTCTTACCTTCTTAGGTGTGGGATGTTTTGCTTATTGTATTTGCGTCCTTATTGTCGACTTTCCTCCATTAGGCTGTGGAGGCCCTTCTAATGAGTGCAGCGCAGGGACTGTTTATCCTGGGCTGTATCTCAGTACTTCAAGCAATGCCTGGCACGCAGTAGATATTAATAAATATTTATTGAATGACACTCAATGTGTATTTTTGTATCCTTCTCTTTTGCAACTTAATGCTGTACAGTGAGGTATGCCCCCTGTCGTCCCGTATCTTCCAAAAATACGAGTTAATGGTTATACGTGATATAATCGCTCAGCATACCATAATTTATTTAGCAGTCCTCTTTTATTGGACATTTACGTTATTTTGGGCTTTGGGCTCTTATAAATAATGTTGTGATAAGCCATGCTGGACATAAATCTTTGTGCACATTTCTGATGATTTCCTCAGGAATTACTGAGTTGAAAGATACGAATGTCAGAACTCTTGACAAACTGCTAAATTGCCCTCCAGATAGGACCTGTTTGTAAAACACAAATCTGATCATCCTGAGCCCTGCGGCTGGTTCCTCTGGATGAATGAGGGGAGCTTCCTGCTGGTGCTCAGGGCTTTTCTCAGCTTGGCCTGGCCCTTTGCCGACCCTCCTCCAACTCGTCTCTGGGAGGACCTGTGCTGCGGCCCTTGGCCTTGCCTGCCTCCTGCCTCCCCTTGCCCAGGACCCACACTTCCCAGCTTCCTGATCAGCACCCGGCCTTCCCGCCCCTCCCCGCTGACCGGAATTTCACCCACCTGGGACTTTCTTCTTGACATTCATCGGTCAGTATTACTTTTTTCTGTACGCCAATAGTTTGCCGATATCATCCTATGACACTTTATTTCAGCATCGATTACACTCATTCGTGTGTCCCTGAGAGCAGAGACCATGCCTTGCTCATCTTTCTGGTTCAGGCTTCCCAGCGGAGCGGAGCGTGTCCCGAACAGTCAGGTTCTAGTAAACCTTCCAAGTAAGTGCTGCCTGCGCGGACGCGTCCCCTGCAGCCGCTCACGTTCTTTCCAGTTCTGATGGGATTGTTCCTTACGGCTCCAGAACGGAGCCAGCATCTGTCGAGAGCCTCCTGTGTGCCAAGTCCTGGATGGGGCATTCTGTTCCTGATCTGATTTCCCCCTAACTTACACGTTGTCGAAATACAATTTAAGCCACTACAGTGCACTGGGTGTTGAGCCCATGAAATTGTCTCATCAAGATGCAGAACCTCTCTCCATCACCCCAAAGGCTTCCTCATGCTCCTTGGTAATCCTCCTTTTCCCAACCCCCTTGTTCCCAGACAACCAATCATCTGCTCTCTGTCACTCCTCCTGTCACTGATTTTTATACAATTTTCTATAAATAGTCTGGTCAGGCTTTTTCCATTCAGCTTACTTATTTTGAGATTCATCTATGTTATTTTGTGTACCAGTAGTTCATTCCTGTTTTATCGCTGAGTAGTATTCTTGTGTATGGATGTACCACAGTTTGTTTTTCTATTCACCTGTTGATAGGCATTTGGGTCACTTCCAGCTTTGGGTGATTACAAATTAAATTGTGGTGAACGTTTGTCTTTGTCTGGCTTCTTATGTCCTTGTCTCCTCTCATCGTAACCTAGTGAGGGACTCATGCCTTTTTTGCCAGTGAGCAAACACTCAGAGAGGTTAAGCAACTACTCTAAAGATGCAGTGCTGGGAAGTGACTGGGGCAGAGTTTGAACCTAGGTCTCTTGGGCATCAAATCTGTTGGGCTTTATAAACTGCAAGATGCTCCATAAATAGGCATTAACACCAAAGAGACCGTTCCTGTTAGGAAACTTAGGTTGTCATGGAGAGGGGCATACTATTCCTCTTCCATGTAGGTTTGGCCACCAAAGATTTCTCTTTTTTTAAATCTTCATCTGAGGATATTTTTTCCATTTATCATTAGATCGAGTTCAGGGGGCGTGGGGAGAGAAACATCTACATGAGAGAGACACATCAACTGGTTGCCTCCTGCACGACCCAACCAGGACCGGGGGCGAACTGCAACTGAGGTATGTGCCCTTGACCAGAATCGAACCCATGACTCATTGGTCTGCGGGCTGATGCTCTAACCGCTGAGCCAAACCGGCCAGGGCTGACCACTGAAGATTTTTAAGTAGCTCTTGCTATGCTTATTTTTCGTAGAGAAGATGCTCATCTGACATTTAACAAATTACAAGTTGGGGAAAGGGTATTGGCCCAGGTCCACCTGGTGGCTTAGACAGGAAGGGAACCAGGTGCACTTTCTAAGAAATCGAGATCGGAGTTAACACTGTTCTGCTTGTGCCGTGCTCAGAGTTCGGCGCCGTGTGGATGACATTGCAGCCTGCGGCCTCACTGGGGCTGGCAGAGGTGACGAGCAGCAGGAGTCTCGCAGGAAGCTGCCAGACATCTCAGCTCGGGTGATTTGATCAGGTCTTCCATTTTCAATTAACTCTGGTCACCGAGGGATGAACCTGCCCTTTGATGGGTTTCATCCCAGATGGAGGCCCATAAAACATTACAATTTCTGCAAAACGGTGCCTCGTTATCCCTTTTATGTGTGCGTTATGCCAGTTTCTCTGTGCCAGGCCACTCGAGCACCACTTGAAGGCTACCTGTGTCAGCTCTGTGAGAGCCAGCTGTGTTTCATATGTATTCGGTGTTGGGGACAGTTGGCACATGGAGCAATCTGTATAA